TGGGGGGGGGGGGGGTCCTCTTCGCAAAACTGTCCACGTCTGAACGATGACGGCGACACGCTTGTGGGGTGGCCCTAGTTGCGGGAGCTCATGGAGGCTAGTCCGGTACATCGATCTGGAAGTTCTGTTCGTTTCACGATGTTCTAATCTGCGGCAATTATGCCGACTTTGTTTTTGCGTCGGGAGGTCTTGTTTTGGTAATAAACCTGGTATCGTACACTTAGTGCTGCGAAGTAGAGGCTGCCACTCTCTCTACCCCGTTGGATGCTGCACAATAATGAAGTTGCGTGCCTTGCATCCGAAGCGTTCACCTTGCCCTGGACACAAATATGATCACGCCCCTCCCCCTGCTTAAGGTCCCTGAACACCTGACGTACGACGATTTCTGGACCCGCTACTTCTTCCGCGCGGAGAAGGTGGCCAAGGGCAAGGCCGGCGGCGGCATGTCGTTCCCGAACGAAGGTAAGGTGTGGTGTGTATGTGCTCTCGCTCGAGCTGGCCCGGGGGGAAGGGGGTCGAGCTCCAAGCCCACAGTAAACAGTGGCCGCTGTGGCGTGTTGCAGTACCTTATCAAGAGTTCGATGAGCCTTTTTGTAAGTGACGATGGTGCCGGTGCTCTTGTGGCGGCAAGTTCTGTCTGCGGCCTCTTGAGCGGTATGTAGGCAGCACCAGTTTTGCTTACGGAGGGACAAGGGCCGGGTGTGTTCGCCGTGAGGGGGCTCATTGTTTGACCTAGGTAGCTTTTGATCATGTCAGGAATTCAGCAGCAGCAGCAGCAGCAGCAGCGGCAACAGATGCACAAAGACCACAACAACAACAGCAGCCCTGCCCAACACAACCACCCCCGGGCGGCGCCTAAGTATAACCGCACGATTTATTTTCTCCCCGCCAGCAGACGAAGACGAGGACGAAGATTTCGGGTGGGGAGAGGACGATCAGGACGACGGCAACGACAACAACGCCGACTTCAACGATCACGGGGCGGACGACGACCTGCCCTCCCCCCCTTCCCGTTCCTCGCCGTCCGCCACCGCCGCCGCACGCGCACCGGCACGCGATCTCTCTCCGCACGCCGGCGACGGTGCGGCCGGGCCACCAGGAGGTGCGTTGGGGGCGATGCGCCCGGATTCGCCGCCGCCAGCTGGTGGTGGTGGTGGTAGGACGGCGGCGGGGGGCGGTGTGAAGACTCTCGCTTCGGCGGCGGCCATGGCCGAGATTTCTCGCCTCACCGCGGCGCTGCGGGCGAGCGAGGCGGAGCGGGCGTCCGCCTCCGCGGGCGAGGGCTCGCGCGGCGGGAACGGCGGTGAGGTCGACGAGGTTACCAGGCAAAGGGACGCGGCTGTTGCCGAGGTGAGAGAGAGGGGAATGAGTTGCTGCCACCGGTGGTGGGGTGGGTGGGTGGTGAGTGGGCAGACTTTTGTGGGCATGTTGGGCGTTGCGTAAGCTTGTGCTTACGTGATATGTTTCTATTGTTAGTGATGTGCTGCTGCTGCTGCTGCTGCTGCTGCTGCTGCTGCTGCTACCGGTAGAACTCAGAACTGTCGTGCCAGGCCGGTTGACGTGTGCAGTCTTGGATGGAGATAGAAAACGCGCTACCCCACCGCTTCGCCCTCTCTCCGCCTCCCCCCCCTCGCGACGAAAAACTCGCCAACACCCCCCTCTCTCTCTTGCATACATAACCCCTGCACATCCTCTCTCGTCCCCTTGTTTGCCTCACCCCCAATCCACACACCACCCATGCCGTCATCGATAAAATATACACAGGCCGATCAACTCCGCTCGAGCCTGCGCCAGCTGCAAACCGAGCACCAAGAGACGGTCAACAAAGCTACCGCCGACCTCGACGCCGCGGGGGGCGCGGAGCAAGAACTGCGGCGGCAGCTGGCGGAGGCGGAGGCGGCGGCGGAGGAGGGCCGAGCGCGCGTTGCCGCCGCCGAGAAGGAAGCCCGGGCGCACGCGGCCCCGAGGGCCGCGGCGGGAGAGAGGAAGGAGGCGGTAGCGGGGGCGGGGGTGGCGGAAGAGGCGGCGGCGGTAGCGACGGCCGAGACCGCGGCCGAGGAATCCTCCGCCGAGCTTTCGAGGCTCAAGAAGGCGTTCCGCGAGGAGCGGGCGGAGCACGAGGCTATGCTGCTGGCATCGAGGTGGGCGCTGATTTTTTTGTGTGTACGTGTGGGTGTTGTGTGATGTTCCGGTGCTACAGCGTTTTGGCGCTATGCTGCTGTGTTTGGGATGTGTGTAGGTAGTAGTGATATTCTGGAGTCTTCGGAGTAGAGAGGCACACCTTGAGAATGCAGAGAAGGGTGGGCAGGCAGGCTGTAGTTTCGGATTTTCAACGTAGTGGCAAAATATGCCTGCACCCCCCCTAGGTTTTCATGCCGTTGGGTAGGCGTGTTAAATAGGAGAATCCTTTTGTGCATGTCCATGTCGTTTGGGCTGCCGTAAGTAGGGCCTTTCAGCAGGCATTGCGCCGGAGTGACAAGCGTTGGATGGATGGATCACAGCTGCCGTGTTCAAACCTTTCCTACCCGCTGCGTATTTTTGCATCCCCCCCATTCACGGAATTTTACATCTTCGGGAGAGCAGGCAGGCGGCAAACGAAGCGGTGGAGGCTGCCCTGAGCTCGGCCGACGCGGACAGAGAGGAGGCGTGCGCCGAGCTGGAGGCATCGATGAAGGCGGAGGTAAAAGAAAAAAAAAAATGACTACGACAGTCAGCCGGCCGGGTGCAAAATTTGCTGTTGTCTGTTGACTTTGGCTCTTTTTGGCGGAGCTCTTGCCCCCCAGGTCTTGGCAGTGAAAGGGTGCGGTGCCAACGAGCGTGGGCTGAGTGACACTAGCATTCACCACCTTTTTTTTTCGGCCTCTTCCGTGCCCATGCCTCGCCGGTCTCGTGTTCCTGCTCCTGCCCACCCACCAAACCAGCCCGTCCCGTCCCGACTACATTGTATTTAGTCGAGATTCTTCGCGGCGACCTTTGTTTTTTCTTCTTTTCCCCCCGTGCCCCCCCGTAGGGCATCGATGTTTGCCATCGGGGTTAGGTTTTCGTCACTTGGCAACGACGTTGTAAAACAGGCCGCCCCCCCTGGTGTTTGCCATCGGGATTGGGTTTTCGTCGCTTGGCAGCGATGTTGTAAAACAAGCCGATTCAGTTCGTGAGCTCGGCAACCAGGTTACCGCTTCTTTTTTTTGCCTTTTTTTTTTTGCGGTAACCATGAATGGTGGTCGAGTAGATCATGGTGTGCGGGGTCGAGAACCCTCACTCCGCGCAAAGGGGATAATCGCACGTTGTGTTAAATTGGTCAAGCACTCTTGAGGCAGTTACACAGCGCTTCCAACTGTCTCTGGAGGTGAAAGCACCAGAAAATAAATTAAGTCATACGCAGTTGTCATCCGTAAGCAAGGAAGTAAGCACCAGATGCCGAACACCCTTAGCAGGATGCAGCGCACCCATCATGCGACTCGTCGAATACCTCACGGCGCTTCGCGCTTGGTGATGTGAGAGCCTGGTCCGGTGAGAACCCGGCGTGCTCCGTCCCGGCTTTGTAGGGATGCGAGGTCAATGGTCTAACGACTACGGCATGCACGACTATGAGTACACCCCCCCCCCCCCCTTGGGGGCCCTCCCCTCCAGGACCCCTGGGCCATGGTCTAACCCCTAAGGGATGGCAAAATATTTTAATTCTCCCCCCCCCCCATGCTTCCTCCCCTCGAGGACCCCGGGGCCCTGTTTTAACCCCTTAA